AGCCTGGCCCGGCCGTACGAGAAGCTGTGGCACTGCGGCTCTGCCTGCGGACAGACCTGCCTGCCTCATGGGACAGCCACAGACGCTGTCCTGCATCCCCAGGGACAGCACCCCCCGAGCTGGGCAGCCCCGGTGAGACAAGCCAGCGGTGCTGTCCCCTCCCAGGATGTCACCCTGCCCGCCTTCAGCCTCACCCCTCCCTCCTGCAGGGTCCTGGTCACCGTCATGCCGTACTCGTGGCTCACAAAGTGGGTCCTCTTCTCGGTGGGGTGCGGTGTGAGCTGCGGGAGGGGTGGGAGGCACGGGGTGGGGGGCAGAGCCAGGGCACCCCTCCTCTGAGGGGGCGACCCCGGCCCTGCTGTCAGTCGGGTACCACGGCAGATGCATTGTGGGAAACTCCCCACCCCAGCTGCCACCCAGAGGAGGGGATGGGGACCAGGCTGGTGGGGCAGAGCTGGAGTCTGAGCATGACAAAAGACACCAGGCTACCCACAGCAGCTTTGCAGGGGGCACAGCCCGCCGGAGGGCACCACGGCAGGGCACACCCCAGGGCAGCAGGTAGGACACAGGGAAGGGGACATGCCACTACCACATCAGTCACCTCCAGGCACTCCTGCTCCTCCTGCTCCAGGGTCTCCAGCTGCCACGTCAAATAGGCTGGCAGAACAAAGCCATGCTCAACCAATCCTGTTGGATGGCACTGTCCCCATTCCGAGCCCTGAGGGCTGGCGGACAGGGATGTTCCAGCCCTGGGGAGGAAGGAAGCCCCCAAAGGCCAACCCTGGCTCACCTTTGAGGCTGCTGGAGACAGGCACACCATTGTGCTTGCTTCGGAACCTGGTTTGCACCAGGATGCAGCTCTGCATGGGTGCACCTTCCTGCTGGTAGGGTGCCCACTGGGCTGCCATCCACCACTGGCCCTGTGCCTTGTCCCTTGGTGAGGCCCCCACGGCCACCACTGCCAGCCTCTCAGCAAACAGGCACCCCTCCAGCTCCTTCAGCCCTGCACAGAGGGACAGTGACCGCGAGGAGATTGTCACTGGTCACTCCCTCAAGAAGGGACCGTCGCCCCTGCCCAGTGCCCCTCCCTGTCTCCATGCCCCTCTGCAGGCTGGGTCAAGCCCCTCGCCATTTATCCCCCACTCTCAATCCCTCACTCTCCATCTCCCTCCTGCCGTGCCGGTGCCCCCAGCCTGCAGGACAAGGGGGGCGGGAGGAGGCACGCACCGATGAGGCTCAGGAACTCGGCAGCAGTGTCCGCCACGCTCGGGCTGTCCCATGGGCGCTCGGGAGGGGGCTCCATGCCTCGCCGGGCGGCTCCTGCTGCCGGGGTCTCAGTGAGGGGCGGCGGGGCTCCCCCGGTACCGCCCCACGCGTGACCCGGGGGCAGTGACACCCAGCCCGCCTCCGCAGCCCCTCTCGGGTACCCCCGGGTCTCCCCGGTCCCCGCCCTGCCGGACCCACCCGGTGACCCCGACGCGTCTCCGTCTCCCGGCAACGCCCTAGCCCCACCCCTTAAAGGGGCCGCGCCCCGCCGCGGGGTTTGGACCTCACCGAGGGGGAGAGAAAAGGACGAACAGGTGTAAAATTGATCCAGTCTTTTATTTGGGGCGTGCGGGTGATTGCGGCTCCGATCCCCAGCGAAGCAGCACCCGCCACACCGCAGCAGTGCGACCCTCTGGCCCCGTCCCAGTGTGTGTGTGTATGTTTTTGTGTGTGTGTGCGTACAGGGGGGCTCCGGCGTCAAGGATGGGAGCCCCGTGCCTGGAGGTAGTACTGCCGGCCCGCCTCCCCTTGCTGGCTCCATCCCAGCCCCCACAAAGGAGATTCACAACACTGGGGGCTCAAGGGGAGGGGGCTGAGTAGTTGTGGTGGTGGTGGTGGAGGGAAATTGGAGACTCCCAGAAAAACGGGGGAGGGGGCTGATTGGTGGTGGTGGTGATGGGGAAATTTGAGACTCCCAAAACGGGGGAGTGTGGGGGGGGATTGTAGGAGAAGCCCTTGGTGCCATTCCTATAGCCCCAGCATTGAGGTGGAGGGCTACAGACCCCCAAGAGGGGATTGAGGTGCTTCTACGTGACAGCTGGTGACCCCCAAGTTGGAGGGAGCAAAGGCAAGGATCACTTATGGGGTGCCCACTTAAGGGGGTGTCCACTCTTCCCCCAACCCTGCACCCCAGGAGGGAGATTCACAGCAAAACAAACCACAGAGCCTTGGGCCCCCTGTGCCCAACCATCACCCCGTGGAAAGGGGGGGCCCTGGCGGGGGGGGCAGATCTAGGTGGCTTGGTAGAGGTCCTTGCGCCTCCGCATCTCCTTGAGGACTCGGGCACGGAAGGCGTCGGGGTCCTCCCCCCCGGCCTGCCACAGCCCCAGCGCCTCCTGCAGCTCGGGCCGGTGGGTCCGCAAAAAGGGGTTGTAGGTCTGCTCCTCCCCCAGTGTAGAGGGGCACTGTGGGCGCAGCAGCTCAGCTCCCCTGCTGGAGGCAGCACCCCTGGCAGGGAGCTGGGAACGCCCCCAGAGCCCCCTGCCCCTATGGCACCCCCCATGCAAGAGGGTGTTGGGGTGCAACATCCCTGCCAAGGGACCCCGTGAGGGGTTGGGATGGTGGGGGCTGCCCCCAGGGACCCCCATGCCTCACCGTGCTCCTCTTCTCCTGGCGTTGCTGCACCGCCCACTGCAGCTTCTGCTCCAGCGCAGAATTGTCCAGCTCCAGGAGGCTGGCGAAGGTCAGGCACTCCAGTGCGTATTCATGGCCTGTGGACCCCCATACACAGCCCTTAGCATCACCCCCACCCGGCTCTCCCCCTTGGCAGTGGGGCTACGGGACAGCAGCAGCTCTGCCCTGCTGCTGGGGACACTCACCCGGCCAAAGCAGCGTGTCCTCGCCCAAGCTCACGGCCACGTCCAGGGAGGCCAGCATGGTCTCAGGGGAGCCCTCAAATGGCCTGCCTGCAACCCCACACAGCTGCCTGTCATGGGGGGTCTGGGGGGAGCCCCTAAGCCAGCCCAGGATGGGATAACCCCCCAAGCCCCTGTCTGGGGTTGGGTGCACTCACCACAGCCAGCGAGGAAGAGGAGGTCCCCGGAGAAGAGGCAGGGTGGGCTGCCAAAGGGGCCCCCGTCCAGCACATAGACCATGTGGCCCACAGTGTGCCCAGGCGTGGCGAGGGCCTCGAATGTCAGGCAGCCCACGGTCACCTTCTCCCTGTCTGTAAGTGGGCTGTGCGGGAACAGGGGGCACCGTCAGGGTGCTCCCCCAAACCCAGCACCTCCCCTGGCACCCCTTCTCGCACACTGGTGCCAGGAGTGTGCCAGGACTCTGTCCATAATGGAACTGGGGGAATGGACTCCTGAGTGAGCGCTGCAGACAGTGGTGGTTGGGAATGAAGCCCCCCCAGATTCACAGGGGTGCTAGAGGGGTGCAGGACTTACTTGGTGAGCCGTGGGATGGCATCGAGCGCGCTGCCATACACCCTGCAGGAGCTGTGCTTCTGGCAGAGAGCCTCGTTGCCTCCGCTGTGGTCCCTGCAGACAGGGAGGTCAGAGACCCCAAATGTACCCCCCCATACTCCCTCCATTAAATGGGGCAGGGTTGGGGGTCACCTCAGGTGGGCCTGCCTTCCCAGCAGCTACCAACCCTCCCAGAGCCTCCTCTTGCCCCTTACCAGTGTTTGTGTGTGCAGAATATGGCTTCCAGCATCACCCCCTCTTCTTCGATGGCAGCCTAGGGAAGAAATATGGACAGAGAGATAAGGGGGGACAGAGAACCCAAGTATCAGTTTCCTCCCTGAACCCTATCTCCCCCAGCTCCCCTGTCATGCTCCAGTCTTGTCTTGGGCACTAAGGGCTGCAGATTAGGGGCAAATTTGCTCCTCTCTAACCCCAAACACAGAGACATGGCATGCTCTCACCTGGAGATAGCCAAACACCGGGTCAGAGTGGTTGTGGGGGTCTCACCTGTACAGCCAGCGGGTCAGAGGGGTCGATGACAGCCGCTTGGCTGGAGCCAGTGTCGATGACCAGGTAGCTGTAGTTGTTGGAGAGGACGGGAATGGGCAGGATTTTCACCCCTGAGGGGGAAGAGACACAATCAGGGCATCACCCCCCCACGCTGGAAAAGGAGGAGTCTAGGTCAAACTCCCCACATCTTACATCAAATTCTTAGTTAAACATGCTTCGGGCAATTCAGTGATGGCAGCCCCTCCCCAGCCCAAAGTGCCGGTGCTGGGCACTGCAGGGCCGAGGTGTGGAGGGGCTGCCCGGACTCACCAGGGAAGCAGTAGGGCTGGGGCACGGAGTGGCCGTGCGGGTACCGCTCCCGCGCCTTCTTCACCTGCCGCTGGTAGAACAGGTAGCCCAGGCGTGTGCGGGCGTACAGGCTGTACCTAGGAGGAGGGCAGACAGCCCTGGGCATTAAACCCCAGGTTCCCTAAGGAGCCCACTTGGGAAAGGGGCTACTGCCGGGGCTGTCACTCCCACAGTGAACATATACAGGGCCATTTGCGCATTCGGGGGAACTATTGGAGTTGTGTGTGTACGCCACACCTCAGATTTGTAGTGAGGGCAGGATTGGTTCCTTAATTCCCTGAGCAGGTATCCTCCATCTCCTTCGAGCAGCAGGGACTGGAGGGGGACATTGCTGCGGAGTGCTCACCAGGAGGGCTGGAGCTGGATGTTCCTCTCCACGCTCCGGGGGGAGACATGCCCAAGCCTGCCATGGTCCGGGGAATTAGGAGACAATGGGCCGAGGAAAAGGGAGGCAAGAAATGCCCCCGTGCATGTGGGGGTGCAAAAGACATAAGGCTCGGAGGGACCTCCCCGTTTGCACAGCAGCAATTTGGGACGGGACGGGGAATGCTGCAATGACGGACATGTAAAGACCTGGGCTGCAAAGCCCATTCCCGGCCGAGGGCACCCCTGGATGGCACACCGGGAGCATGTAGTAGCGGTGGGAGCCCGAAACCGGGGACCAGGGGTCGGAGCACCGGGGCAGGTCAGCGGTGACACCCGAGAGAAGGCGCCCCGCACGGGAG